CTCTCTCTCTGCTTCCTCTCTTCTCCTTTAAACAACACACACAAAAGACAACAACCATCACACTGACAATAGGTTTTTGTCAGGCCTCCTGCTTGTCAGATGATACATACCAGTGTGTGTGCTGCAAGAGATTGATGATGCTTTATTGGTTGTTAACAGTAACAGTGACATCTATCACTTGTTTTTTTATTCAATGCAAGGATTATTAGGGAGAGCACGAACGCTGAGAGAGAGAGAGAGAGAGATCCACCCTGTATTGTTACCCAGGCAGAAATGAGTGAAGCCACCTGACACAGATAAAAAAAACCTGTCCTTTAGCATCACCACCTGTCACACCCTAACACACAAAACAAACCTACCCCGACTGGAGGCTGGGACATACCGCACATAACGGACATACGTGGGCCAGACTTGATTTAACGCACCTTGCAGAGAGAGGCGTGTGACTCACAGTGCTAAATAAAGTCTTCATAAAGTCCTGCCTAGCCCAAGTATGCCACATATTGTCTTTGTAATGGAATAGTGGTTAAATTTTGAGCAGTGACATCAGCTTAAATAAGGTGAAGACATGTGTGGAACGGTAATAACAATAAGACATGCTAAAAGGAACAAAAAGTCATGAAAAAAATGAATAAAATAGCATGGTCCAAATACTTTGTGAAGGGCAGAAAAGAGATGGCATGACACAAATAATAAAGAAGATAATGAGACATTAGAAAACAAGACATTAGAAAACAAGAAATGAGACATAAAAAAGGAAAAGAAGAAAGGAGCCAGGACAAAAAAGAAGAGAAAAAGGAATGAGACATGAAAAAGGACATGACGAACAAAAATGTGACTCGGAAATTGGAGATGAGAAGCATTGAAACATTAAAAAGAACAGAAAACATGGTACATGGATAGGAGATCAAATTAAATGAGGAATGAAAAAGAGTGGGGAGATGACACATGAAAGAGGAAAGAGAAGAAATAAGATGTAGAGAAGAGAAGAGCATTTGATTGCGTAAAAACAGGTTGGCTGACTAGCTCGACTGGTTATCATAGCTGACATTCCTGCTCACATACACACACTGTCTCACTCATATGTCCCCAGAGGACAAAGCAGGAAAGCGGAGGAATAGAGTTGAGGTGTGAGTCAGGTTTGAATTCATTAAGCCTGAGTTATCTGGTTTCCTGGGTGTGGCTGCAGATTAGTAGAGTCATATACAGTACCTGTCTGTCTCATAAAACACACACACACACACACACACACACACACACACACAGTAGGATATAGACCTACTTACTGCTCCTAGTAGTGAGAACAGTGATTACTCTATTTCTGTCCAAAAAGGTCCTTTTTCAGTGTTTCTTAATGGGAAACAGAGTGTCTAAATGGTCTATTCATTATTCACTGCTATGCCAGAGACTGTAGTATCAAGGTTGGATTAACCTGCAAGGAGGCCAAAACCCAAATTTTGCCTCAGGGCAAAATTAACTATGGGCCCCAACTGACCCGTCATTCTTCCCACTTTAACGGTTAAAGGGACACTCCACCTATTTTATGTGGCAATGTCAATTGACCCAAACCCTTTTGGAATCTATGTCAACTTTGTCCTTTACTGTACTTAGATACTATATTTACAAGTATAATAATTAGCTAGCATTTTACTAACATTTGCTATCAGATGTTTACAATTTACAGTTTACAATTAATGCCGATTAGTTAGCTAGTGTTTTGCTCTGTAGCCAGATAACTATCTAGTTAATGCTTGATATGGATCAAATAGCTAGCAAATAAACATGAGCTAACTTAAGATGCTATGTAGTTTTTATCTTTTCACCATCTTCAACATAGGTTAGCCTAGCACATAGGACATCTAAGTACAGGAACGGAGAAAGTTGACTGAGGTTCTGATCAAGGCTTGCTTAACTTTTGTTGGAGCACAGCACAAAGAGGGACGGGACTTAGAAAGGGTCAATTTACTTCATGCTCTAGTTCTGGAGCATAGATAATAAGAACTAGAAACCAAACACCAAGATGGTGCCTATTGAGAACTGTTCATGTGGTGCATACCCTACACCAAAATGTTTTCTTGCCTCTGGGTGTACTTCCTGGTTATGTGGCCCACATGTGCAGCAATGTGGGTGGCTGTGATTCAGGAGGTTAGCAGTTGGATCCCTGGCTCCTCCTGCTGCATGTCGAAGAGTCCCTGAGCAAGATACTGAACCCCAAATTGCTCCTGATGCTGTGCATCAGTGTGCAAGTGTATCTGAATGACTTAGTTTCTGTATGTGGCCATTGCCATCATTGAGAAACCAACTCTGGTTATTGGCAGCTCAATAGTCAGGCACATATTTTAGCAAAGCCAGCGGCCACAGTTAAATGTATCCCTGGGGCCAGAGCGGGCGACATTGAATCATATTTAAAACTGCTGGCTAAAGATAAACGTAAATACAATAAGATAGTTATTCACGTCGGCAGTAATGACACCCGATTACGCCAATCTGACCAGTGATGACATGTATAGCC